GGTTATGTAGTTGATGGTTCAGTTTTTTTGTAATTGTTTATCTATTTCTGTTGCACTTAAGGTTAGCTTTAGCAGTTTGACTTAGGACTGGTTTCTTTGGCCATGTTAATAGAACCAAAGAGCTGCTTGTTAAGCCAACTTTAACTTGATACTCATTCATTTGAAGGCTAGACTAGGAGAATTTAGAACTTGGGTTTTCCAGTTTCTATAGTTCCATTTGAGCCTCTGGATCAAAGGCGATGTCAGAGCGAACACACATGTGCAACTACTTATTTCATTCTTGTCGACTTTGTTTCTCTTGGTCAGTTTCTGAGTTCTGGAAAAGCTTGATCAAGAACTGATAACTCTTTTACACAGGCATTCTTACTTGTCTTGATGGCTATATGAACATAGCAATGGAACAGACAGAGGAGTATGTGAACGGGCAGCTCAAGAACAAATACGGCGATGCCTTTATCCGTGGAAACAACGGTATAACCAAAACCTCTCAGTCTTCTTCTTCTTCTTTGTATATCCTTCTTTTTATGCATTTAAATCTGTGTGTTTTCTTTGAATGCAGTTCTTTACATCAGTACAGTCAACAGGACTTTGGGGGACGGAGCCTAGACCCATCCTGATGCATCATCAACGGTCATCTATTGATGTTATCTTCTTTGAGCTCGTTTTTAAAGGGCTCTTCTTGCACTTTAACGATTGCCGTATCAAAAATGTTTATTTTCTTCAGTGATGGTTATATCAGACATCAAATATTTGCGTACTTGAAGATCCAAGATTTTTGGTTAGTCGTCTATACAAATGTTATATCTTGCCTTCTAGAAAAATATGGATTTCGTTAAAAAGATAATATCAAAGTCATTCGGATTATTAGAGAAGAAATGTAAGTGCGTAGAAAATCACAATATCATATTAATGATATTTTCCGAGTTCCAAAAATTGAACATTTTCTCCCACTTTAAGGTCACATCCTATAATCTCTCTCAGTTCCATTATCTTCAGAGCTCAAAGCTGTATCAATCTAAAATAGTGTTTTCTAATCCCTTAATGTGATTCTTCTTCTGTTGCATTTTCTTCTGGCTTGCTTCCCAACCTTCCCAACCTTACAATGTCTTCCACCATAATTCTTCCCTCTGTTGAAAAATCAAATTCCAAAACAAAGATCAACTAACAGATCTAAAACTTCAGAGAGATAAGAGCTCAAACAAGGAGAGGATCGCATCGTTCTTTACCTTTATCTTTGGAGAGACTACTGATTAGTTGTTGAAGACCTTCCTTAGCAAGTGTGTCCTTAAGGTACATCGCAGCAGCCGCAACTTCATCAGGTGTGACCTTTCCATCACGATCCCTGTGTGCATTCAAACGTTACCACTTTAATCTCAGAAACAGAAGACCCAAACGAAACATGTAAAAATGATATAATATGTCTACAAATACCTGTCAAGAAGCTGCCAGCCTTTGCCAATTTTGATATCCACATCATCAATCTCCTTCTCGAGGTTTTGAATAAGACCATCAACCTTAAAAAATATGCATGAAGTTAGCTCTGATACAAATCTAAAGGGACTTTGGTAATAGAACGTTTTAAAAGTCTTTTTACCTTTTCCATCAGTGCAGAGGAAACCTCGTCTGCTTCAGCAACTTCCTCAGTTTGGTCACTATCTTCTCTAGCTGCTTTGTAAGCCTTCACTGCAGCTTTTTCACCATCTACATCTTCTCTCTCGACCATTGTGTTATAGAAATCCATCTGGAGAAACAGAAAAGCAATGTCTTTCAATCTAGGACACGAAATGCTGATGAAGCAAGCTACTTATTGACATTTGCTTATGCATTTGTGGCCACTGTACCTCTTTCTTGACCAGTCTCAGGAATTCTTCACGCTCTCTACACACTGACTGTTTATATAAAAAACAAACGGAGTCTTAAATAGGTACCGGGTGAAACTGCTCTGCATATTCATTGTTGAAAAACATAGACTCATTTTTCTTACAGAAGCAGAAGCTAAAACGCCCAATGCACGGCTAAGTTTGCAAAGATCATCTTGCTGTTCAAGAACTCTAGCTCTGGCCTGTTCTTGTGCTTCGCTGGCCGTTGGTATGGTCATCTCTTTCAGTGCCTTATCCTCTTCACCACCTTTAACATCCTTAATCCTCGTAAGC